CCTTGGCCCCGTTGTAATCAATGTTTGCATTGTAAAACAAAAAAACAAAAAAAGAAACTAACGAAACGAAAAAAGTACGACTGCATCTTCACGCAGAGCATGGCAATATGCATCCGTTTCTGTGGATAGCAACGAACGCATCTGACCTTTTTCTGGGGATGATGGATTCGCTCGTTTTTCGTCTCGAGAGTGGCGTGGCGGGGGGCCTTGTAACGACTTTTTTTTTTTTTTTTTTGGTCCTTCCTCTAAATGATAAGTTACAAAAAAACAGGAAAAGAAAAAGAAAAAAAATGATAAGGTTCAATGAACTTGTCACAGCAGGCCCGCTGCAATCACCGCAATCCAGACAGCTCACGAGTCCTCCGTTTTAGGGCCTAGTCACATTATAGGACTATCTCAAATGTACCAGACGGCAATCACGCCCATGGCTAGATGTATGTGGCCCCAATTCCATCAAAAAATATGTAAAAAAGTCGTAGTGTGAGTATGCCCTTCAGAAGGACTGGCCCGCGGGCCCACTAGCAACGTGGATCGGCTCGAATGCCTGAATCTGGACGTGTTTTACGCAGAGAGGCAGAAAAGCAGTTCAGTCTCGATTTTCTGCACCTGTCCACCAAAAAGTCCAGATTCAGGATTTCAATCCAATCCTCGTTGCTAGTGGGACCTCGCCCCAGCCTGGCTCTGGGGGCTCGCTCCACTACATAACACTCTACCGGCCTTTGGACTCTTTCTGAACTCGATATATATTCCAAGTGTTGAACTCGTCCCAGTGCACGCGGTCCACAAAGCATCCAAATTCATGTAGCGTGTTGTGTATTATAGGAGAGAGGCCTGGCCAGCCGCCGGTTTTGCGATTCCGCGATTTTGAGGGGGTTTAGGCCATATATATATTTTTTTTAATATTTGGTTTTACTCATCAAATTCCATCATCTAGGTTCGAACTCAGGTCTGTATTTCAACAGTTCAATGGTGTACCCCCTGAGCTAGGCTCCTGAGCATAGTCACAATAGGCCTTTAAAATCGCAAAATCGCAAAATCGCAAAATCGCAAAATGAGCGGCCAGATCTAGTCCTTCCTTTACACCCGCTCATTTTGTGATTTTGCGATTTTTAAGGCCTATTGTGTGGGTATGGGTCTCGCTCCACTACTCACCACGTGAAAAAAACGACCGAAAAAATGCCGGGGCCAAGTTCAAGTCCCACCACTGCAGGGTTGAATTTCCTCAATCTGGACGTGTTCGTGGAGATGTGCGGTCGACGAAACTCAACGCCATTTCTGCACATTTCGTCAACCCCGTCCAGATTCAGGCGTTGCGGAAACGCAACGCTCCTATCCTAGCGGGACTTGGCCCCCTGTGTATCTTCATATGTTCTACTCATTCTCGTTTTGCATATTCGGTGAGTAGCGAAGCGAGGTCCTATGCCCTATGCCCTATGCCCTTAGGGTCCTCGTTCGATTGGAAGAAACGTGCTCCCCCCAAGGAGGCGCCTACTTCTATTTTTCTTTTTTTTGTTCATTTTTGTTTCAAAATGCTGTTCTGCTCTGGGTCTGCATTTCAACACCGCGACTCGCTTCGTTGCATTTTTGTTTCAGAATGCATCTGAACTCTGGGGGCCATGTCCCACTTGACCGGATTCTTCACTTCTGGCCGTTGATTTTCATGATCTACGGTCGGGAATGGAGGATCAGGTAAGTGGGACTTGGCCCTGGGTCTGCATTTCAACACAGTGACTCCGTGGGTCTCCCACCTGAGCCGCCTTTGGTGTCTACTTCAATTTATTTTATTTTATTTTTTTCATTTTTGATTTAGAATGCTGTTCTGGTCATCCGCCGCTTGCATCTGAACTCTGGGTCTGCATCTCAACACAGTGACTGCGTGGGTCTCCCACCTGAGCCCCCTTTTGTGTCTGAGGGCCTCACCACACCACTCTCCCGAAATGTGAAAAGGACAAAACATAAGGCCCTCCTACTAAAGAAAGATAATGCTAGCCGGATCCAAAACACCCGCGGCAAAAACCCAGGTCATTGTTCTACCCAGTAGAATCAGACTAATGACCTGGAATGTCCGCGGTTTTGGTGATTCAGCAAAAAAATATAAGAAAGCAAGGTTTAAAGCCTGGCTGCATTCTCAACATGTGCAAATTGCTTGCATACAAGAGACGAAATTGGATCAACATAAAATCAATGCTCTGCACAGATGGTGGGAGGGCCCACAGATCTGGGCCCCGGCCCATGGCTCGAAGGGCGGTGTTGCTATCCTTATTAATAAGGATTTAGACATCACCGTCCTAGACTCGTATGCTGACATGGAAGGCCGGTGGGCCTGGATGAAATTCTCCATTGATGATGAGGAATGGGCTGTTATGACAATATATGCCCCGGTGGACTACATTGATCGTACCCATTTCCTCGCCAATCTTCCGGCCTCAATTCCAGACTCGGAAAACCTCATTATCACGGGTGATTGGAATACAGTATTCGACCCCGTTCTGGATTCATTCTATCCGTCTCCGCGGTGCTCAGACTCGCTCCTTCTGTCCTCCTTCTGTGAGACGCAGTCCTTGAACGACCCCTTCCGGATGTTTAATCCCCATGCAAATGGATATACCTGGTTTCCCCCCCCCCCCTCCCGCTCGACCCCGGCCCCCAAAAAGAGGTTAGATTTTTTTGTGGTCCGAGGAACTCCGTGGGATAGGAGTATGTGGTGCGAGACCCTCCCTGGATCCTTATCTGACCATAACCCAGTCCTCCTGGATGTGTTGGCCAAAGACATAGTAGACCGCCATCGTCCCCCTTTTCATTTGAACATCTGTCTCCTAAAAGACCAGGGTATCTGCGACTGGGTCAAAACGCACATGACTGAATGGATGGAAGCCAAGGACTTATTTCAGAACTCTAACACGTGGGCTGACACAGCCATAGCCATAGTCAGGCAAGCCCTGATCACCTTTTCAAGGATGAAAGCGGCCAACCTATCTTGGAAAGAGAAATCCTTGCAGAAAATAATCTGTCAGGCCGAAACGGAAATGGGTAAAGACCCGTTCACTGAATTCTATTGGTCCAAGATCCGAAGAGACGCCTTAGTAGAATTAGAATCATTGGAGATTAAAAAACAAGCAGATAGGCTTGAATTTCTGAGATTTAGGGGTATAGTTGGCTATGATAGAATGACCAAACTTACTTTTCGTTCTCTTTTGATACGCCAGGCTAGACCTGCGATTCGAGAGCTGGCCCATCCTTTTGATGCATCAGCCCCGTTAGCATTAGATACAGTTCAGATGTGCAGTTACGCCTTAGAGTATTATAGAGATATTGTGACGACACGTCGCCCATTTGACCACCCCCAGATGGACCTCTCTACATCCTCCGACTTTTGGAACTGCTCGCTTACCCCCATCTCTGAATCGGCTGCTGAGGAGCTGGACAGACCAATCTCTGAAGCTGAACTTCTCGTGGCAGCAAAGTCAATGGCAAAGGGCAAATGCCCCGGCCTGGACGGCCTGCCCATCGAACTTTTCTTGGCAACCTGGTCTGCTTTCGCCCCCTTTTTGTGCGGGATTTATAATGAGGCCATAGCCTTGGGCTGCCTTCCTAAAGGCTTCACCAAGGGCATGATCTCGCTTATGTATAAAAAGGGGGATCGATGTGATGTGCGCAATTGGGGTCCGATATCGGTTTTAAATGTTACATATAAGATACTCGCCAAGGCTCTAGCCCTTCGGCTGGCCAAACTTCTCCCAGGGTTGATTGGCTGGGAACAGGGGGCCTTTGTTAAAGGCCGCTCTATTTTTGAAAATATTCTATCAACAGTACAGGCCCTGGAAGTAATAAGCAAAGAGAAGAGGGACGTCGCCATCCTTCTCCTTGATATGGAGAAGGCCTACGACAAGGTGGGGTGGGGCTTTGTGCACACCACCTTGAAGAGGTTGGGCTTTGGCCCGAGTTTCAGAACATAGATATCCGCTAGCTATAAGAATGCTACCTCAGCCGTAATCGTCAATGGGAGACTGTCCGAGGAATTCCAATTGACTCATTCTTTAAGGCAGGGGTGCCCATTAGCCCCTCTGCTTTTTGTTCTGCAATTAGAAGTACTATTAGACAATATTAGAATCAACCCCAGAATTCAAGGTCTGAGCTTTACCCCCCGGCTTGTATGGAAGTGGGGAGCAATTGCTGACGATCTGACGATAGCTTGTGACAACAGCCCTAGGGCCCTTAATGAACTCCGTAAAGCAAATGACTCTTACTGCAGTCTCTCTGAAGCCTCCATAAACTGCAAAAAGTCAGTCTACTTCTTACCCCCCTCACGGGTGTTGAGCGTGGATTGGGGTCTTAAACGGATCCCGGCCAATACCTCGGACCGCTTTTTGGGAGTCCAAGTCTCTCTGTCAGATTGTTCAGAAACCCAAGATGCTTTATTTGCAGATAAGATTTCGGCACGAATTGCAGGGTGGGCCCGTAATTTCAAACTCTCACTCTTCGGACGCGCCCTGGTCTTGACTTCAGCGGCCTTCTCTTTGTTGTGGTTCCCACTTTCTGTACAAGGCTTTATATGGAAGGTTGCCTGGGACTGCATTGCTCAATCTAGGCTCCAGGGGGGCCTGGGGATCTTGGACCCAATGCACCAGAATCTGGCATTACTGTGCAAATGGGTTATTTCCACGATATTTGGGGGTCTATCTTAGAGCCAAATTTCTGTGTCCTTCGGGTTTTACGAGCCTAGCATCCTGTTTTGGAAAGTGAGCTGTTTTACGAGCCTACGTATATCTTCTTGTTTTGGAAAGTGAGCTGTGTGTGCGATCAGCAAGTGGGTTTGCTGGCCCAGTGGGCCATGCCGTGGCACAGAACTTCAACCAGTGGTGTGTACCTATATATAGTTCGGCACCTGGCAGTCTGAACCTGTCCTTGGTATCTGGTTTGGACCAGCGGTTAGGTTAGTTAAACTGTGGGCCACAGTACAAGCCATAACTTGGCACATAACTTGAACCAGTGGTGTGTAGGTATATATAGTCCAGGCACCTGGCAGTTTGAACCTGTCCTTGGAATCTGGTTTGGACCAGCGGTCCAGAGGTTAGTTAAACTGTGGGCCAGTGAACAAGCCACAACTTAGCTACATTGTGGGCCACGGTACAAGCCACTGGTTGCAGACTGTGGGTCATTTTGACTTAGCTGCTTACGTCTGGATTGCGCTGTTTGGTAGTTGTGGCAGTCTGGTCAGGCCCACTTGAAGTGACATGGGGGACTCCTTGGGGGTCTCCCTCAGATGCAGCAGCCCGCGCTCTGAGCCGATATTGTACTCCGTCAACGGTTCGAGTTCGGACAACGGTGTGAGTTCGGGGACCGGATGGTACTTTGGTGATGCCGACATCCCGAATGGCATAGTGACTCCTAATGGATGCGATCATCTTGCTTCGGAGAATGTTCCGAATGCCTTGCATCAAAATGGAGACCAGGCTGTTTCAAATGGCTTCGAGGACGCAGTGCGGTTCGTTGAAAATGTTGGGGCTTCTCATCGCCACTCGACGAGTTATCTATGGCGAGCTGAGGTGAATGCACGATCAAGGAGAGAAGGTTGTCAGGTTAACACAACAAAGAAGAAACAATTCGACAGCGAACTCGCTTCGGAGAATGTTCTGAATGCCTCGTGTCAAAATGCAGACCAGGGTGTTTCAAATGGCTTCAATGATGCGGTGCAGTCGGTCGAAAACGGTGGGCCCCTAACTCGAGCTGAGGTAAATGCAGGATCGAGGAGAGAAGGTTGTCCGGGTAACACAACAGGTTGTCCGGGTAACACAACAGGTTGTCCGGGTAACACAACAAAAAAGAAACAATTCGACAGCGAACTCGCTTCGGAGAATGCTCTGAATGCCTCGCGTCAAAATGCAGACCAGAGTGTTTCAAATGGCTTCAATGATGCAGCGCAGTCGGTCGAAAACGGTGGGCCCCTAACTCGAGCTGAGGTGAATGCAGGATCAAGGAGAGAAGGCTGTCCGGGTAACACAACAGAGAAGAAACAATTCAACAGCGAACTCGCTTCGGAGAGCTTTGTGAATGCCGCGCGTCAAAATGCAGACCAGGGTGTTTCAAATGGCTTCAATGATGCGGCGCAGTTGGTTGAAAATGGYGGGCCTTCTCATCRGCATTCGGCGAGTCATGCATGGCGAGTTGAGGTGCGTGGAGGATCAAGGAGAGAGGGTTGTGAGGGTAACACAACAAAGACGAATGGGAAGAGTCGTTCAGAACAATCTGGCACTGAATATGGCGATGATGCGTATGAAGGTGATGACACTGGCGTTGGCGGGGGTCATCATGGTGATGACAATCATCGTGCTTGTAATGATGAGGTGCCAAGCTGTATGGAGGGATGTGTTACCACCTTGCTTCAGGGACTGGGAGAAGACGTGGAGAGAGAGGGCCTGCTGAGAACTCCATTTCGTGTTGCGAAAGCACTTCAGTTTTTCACCGAAGGGTATGGACAGACAGCAAAGGATGTCATTGGGACAGCATTGTTCCGTGAGGAAGTGGCAGTGTCGGCAGAAGGGGATAGTTGTCACGGGTGTGCAGGAGTTGTTGTTGTCCGGGACATCGACCTATCCTCTATTTGTATTGGCTGTCTTTCGCCACTCAGAATCACTGACAGATGTCATCATTGTCATGTTGGTTATGTGCCTTCTAAGCACCAAATAGTAGGTCTCAGCAAGCTTCCACGGATAGGCGAAATGTGTGCAAGGCGCTTGCAGAGCCCATGGCGAATGGCCGATAACCTGGCCGAAAGTGTGCATGGTGTGGTTCCCAGCCATGGAGTTGGAGTGGTCGTAGAAACCTGGCACCTTCGCAGCCCAGGCTCCTTACTCTCTTTGTCCTCTTCCCAGAGGCGCCTGCAGAAACATGTTCTCGATGTGCATGGGGATGCAAGCGGAGCCCTGATGTTGGATGAGGCAGGTAGCTGCGAGCCCGGGATCTGGGTGCACCATGTTCAGGGTGCTGCAAGGGGCATTCTTCAGCACAATCAAGGGCATTGGGACGAGTTTCTTGCTTCGCTTCAAATGGACAACTTCAGGGAGTTGGTGCCTGTGAGAAGCGACTCATGGTTGCAAAAGGAACGGCGGTCAATCGACTCATGTGACTRCTGGTGYCGTCTGGGGTGCAAACCTGATTTTGAAGTCGAAGGTTCCCATCYGCGGGAGGTTGCAGGTGAAAGAAGACTGGATTTGGTTGGAGATTGTGMCYGGGAGGATGCATCTGCAACTTCAGYGGAACCYCGAGCAGACTCAGTGCCGACTATGCTGTCGGCAGTAGAATCGCTCTTGTATATAGCATTGAAGGGGAACTTGCCGTGGAACACGATAAAAAGAACTGCAATCCGATACGTTCAATGGTTGTTATGGTCTACCCGTGAGGGGTTGCAAGACGAAGTTGAAGTCAGTTCGTGGAAATCGTTGGGTCCTCTGGTGGACAGTGGTGTCAATGGTGCTGCAACTGTGACATCTGGAAACCATAATGGATGGTTGAATAAGAATAATGTGGATTCAAGTGTGGGTGCTGGAATCGGAAACTGTACGAGACGGCCATTTAATGGGAAACCGGAGTTCACTTCACATGCGACGAGTTCTCCTCGATGCAAGGAGAAGGGATCAAATGATGTGGCGGCAAGTTTTTCAGAGATTGCCCCTGTTCCTCCTGTTCCTCCTCACACCATGGCATCGGAGTTGTGCTTGCCTTTTTCTTCSTTATGCGAGCACCACCTGTTGCCATTCTATGGTCAGGTACACGWGGCATACGTCTTCAGGTCATCCTCRTCATCATTGCTAAGACAAGGATCAGGTTGGGAGCAAGAGGAGCAGGTAGGTGTTGTGGACAGACGTTTTCTGAAACAGATTGTCAGTGCATATAGCAGACGCCTGCAAGTCCAGGAAAGACTGGGACGGCAGGTAGCACGGAGGCTTGTGTCGTTATTTGATCTCTTAGGGGTCATGGTTGTCCTGGAGGCCAACCACTTGTGCATGATGGCCCGYGGAGTGAAGCAGGTTTGCAGTAACACCTTCTSTACGGCAATGCTCGGATGCTTTTCTACCTCACCCAAGCTACGAGCTGAGTTTCTTCGAAAGCTCCCCAAGAAATCAATGTCAAGAGACCCAGTATGACAACCTCAGCTTATATTCATTGAGTACAGGGAGGGGGAAGGTGGGGAGGGGGATGAACGTGTGGGCCATGTCCTTGCACTTGTAGAGCACTGGTATGGCAACTTTAGCTCTGATTCCTTGAGAACCGGGGGGAATGAATGTGTGTGGATAGCACTGCATACCCTTGCACTTGTAGAGCACACATGCACACACTAGTGAGCGACATGTGATAACATGCACGCTCACATGCACTGGCATGCCTTGCACTTGTAGAACACACATTCATGCACGTGCAGGCAAACACAGGCACCATGCCTCTTTTTGTGCAGTTGTGTATAGACAACACATTCACACACACACACACACACACACACACACACATACGCACTTCTGGTGAGCAACATGCGATAGCACACATGCGTACATGTGCATTCAGACTGTGATAGCACATATGCACAAATGCTTCTTCAGACTGTGATAGCATGCATGCACACATGCACATCAGACCTCTCGGGTTTCCATTTGTATGATTTTTCTTGTCCAGGGCATTACCTGGCACTGGCTTGCACTGCCAGTTGTTCATTCATGTGTTTTGTACTGCCCAGGTTATTACTGGGCAGTAATTTCCACTGCCAGTCCATTGGCATTATGGGACAATTTCAATATCAAAAAAAAAAGAAAAAAAAAAAAGGACAAAGCAAAAACATCTCGCGGGAAGTTCATTCTCAGTTTCCACATTTCATCACTGAGGCCGCTGACAAAATGGTCGCCAGAAAGTCCTCATAACAAATGTGCTCACTTCCCGCCACATTTTCGTCTTTTTCACATTTCGAGCGCGGGGTGGCGTGGCCGGGGGGCCCGATGTGAACCCCGCCGAAATCTAGATCAAAATTTGAGACCTTGGGCCTGCGCTGCACTACTCTGCGCTGCGCAACTCTGGAAATGTGCAAAATGAGACTGAACCCTCCGCCAGAACATGCAAAGACACACAACCATCTGTTGTATTGTCTTTCGTCGATGTCGAGAGTAGTGCAGCGAGGGCTTTTGGGTTATATCAGGTCCGCGGCGTGAGTATATGCCGTCGATGTTCATGTTGACCTCTGCTCGTACCAAAATCTTTCATCGCCATTCGCTGCCATGTTCTTCGCTTTCGTTGGTACGCCGAGCACTTGCTACTCGCAGCCTGCTGGGGGACCGCCGCGGAGCACCACGCGCGCTTCTTGGCTATGGTGTCTGGTCTGTTTTGCGGTGTGCGTCATCGTTTGATTTGATTTGATTTGATTTGATTTGCCGGTCAGCAACCACGTCTCTTATTCGTATTGGTGTTATTACGTCGGTCGTCATCGGATCGAGTTCCACTTTCAAATTGTAAGGAAAATCCTCATCCATCTCCTCAGCTTGTCCTGCTCGTTCAGTGTTAATTTCCTTTATAGTAGCTTCTTCCTTCTGAAAGTTTTTCGCTGAGAGCGACTACGGTAGTACTGGTAATAGCAGCAGTCACGGCAGGAATAGAAAGGAAAAAAAAAGAAGTTATCGTCGTTCTCGGTACTTCCTCGGAATTATTCCATTTTTGAGAACGGTTGTCAGCAGCAGAGTCCGCACACTTGCACGTGCTCAGAACTTTCTCAGTAAATTCAGTGGAATTTCATTTCTCGGTGCTTTGTCTGTACTCTCTTCAAGTTGGTACTTTCTCGCAATTCCTTTTCGCAGAACAGAACGTTCTCAGCAGGAGAGTCAGCAGACTTCCACGTTCTCACAGCACTTTCTCAGCACGTTTCCGCATACTTTCTTCTCGGTACTTTCTCGGTACTTTCTCCGTACTTTCTCTGTTCTTTCTCGGTACTTTCTTGGTAGTGTCTGGGTAATCTCTCCGTACATCTTCGGTATTTTCTCAGTAGCAGGTTCTCAGCACGTGTTCTCAGCGTTTGCGGGAAAAAAAAAAACAAAAAAAAAAAGTGTCGCCATTCCCCGCAACTTAGGGCATACTCACACGAGTAGTAGCACTTTCACAAGTTTCACGGATGTATATGACCGCTTTTCCGACCTGGGCAGGATGCACCTGACACCTGACCGCGAATACGTGCACAGAGAACGGGAAAATTCAATTTGCCTACTGTAGTGTGAGCATGCCTCACATCAGGACTTCTTTTTGCCACCTAATTTCTGGACGTAATTGCCGTCACATACATCCAAGTACTACTCGTAGGACCGTGGTCACGGCCAGATACATGTAAGATTGTGCTACCGGTAGCTTGAGTGTTCTCTCAGCCCCCCTTGTTGACAACGAACGCTTGGAACTTTCATCATCACATCCGCCCCGCCCGGCAGCTCTTCAGCATATGCTCGCTCCCGCTTGATTGAGAGAAAATTCATTGTTTTAGTAGTCAGACTATGACTTTTTCTACTGCTATCTGGACCTGATTGCGGTCAGATACATCCGGAAGCGGCTCCGATTGAGGTCAGATTCATCTAGGAAAGTCCTTGTACCCACGTTTCACCAGGGAAGAGATGTCGCGTGTGAACTTCGCGTCTGTCTGATGATGCGTTCATCCTCTCTCTGGCGTATTTTCTCAGCTGGCAATCAAGTATAATTAGAATTATAAATTCATAATAATGATTACAGTACCACGTACTAAGACACACTCATGACAAAGGGGACTTTTTGGATGTATCGGACTCTCACTCTGTCTAGATTCCGTTGAAAAAGTCGTACCTACCGTTACCCTACCCTACCCTACCCTACCGGGCCTACCCCAACTACCTACCTATCTACTTACCAAGTGTGGTGGTGGGGGATATGCTCCGCTCCGCCTACTGATATAGAGGTCACACACTCATTCCCCCTTTTTTTTGTTCTTTCCCCCCACACACTCATTCCCCCTTTTTTTTGTTCTTTCCCCCCACACACTCATTCCCCCTTTTTTTGGTTCTTTCCCCCCACACACTCATTCCCCCTTTTTTTTGTTCTTTCCCCCCACGACCAACGGATTACGACGTTTCGAGGTCTGGAAACAAAGCGCTGTAATTCCATCACCATTATGATATTTATTTTTCCGATATGAATCGTGTTAATTTTTAACTGAATTTATTTGTATTAAATTTATTTGTATTAAATTTATTAGTATTAAGTTTTATTTGTATTAAATTTATTAAATTAACGATTTATTTACTATCGAATTATTGCAAGTCATTGTTTTTTTTTGAAGTATTTATTGCTGTGAATTGTGTCCCCTTGCTAGCATCACACTACATCAGCGCGAGCATTTTTAATTTGAATTTTTTATTTTCACTGTTTACCACCATCACCACCATTTTTCATCCTACAGTGATTTCCAGCAGTCACTATGATTGACTTTGTAATCTTCATCTGAAACTTCAGCGTAGTGACATGCTGTGATTGATTGCGATCTCTTGTTATCATCACAGGCATAACCTGAAATAAATCGAGGACTGCCGAGGATGAATGTTTCCGTCTTACAGGGTCAGATTCAGCTGAAAACGCTCAAGTGCAGTAAAACGAGTCCTGTCGCTCACCTTGTCCACATCTGATCCGATCATTCGGTCCCAAGGGCAGGGCGGGAACCAACAAGCTCTACTGCAGATCGGGATCCCTCATATAGCAGTCTCCTTCAGTGACAATCAATCACTGACAGTCGATAACTAAATAAATCAAAATCACTCATCATCATCACACGAAGGTTCTATTCACACTATAAGATTTTATCCGATATAATATCTGATCACTCTTCCTGTCCCACCTGCACTGTGGGTATAGCATAGGTCTCGTTCTTGCCAGAGTGTTTCACTTACCACGCACCTACAGCACGCACTTAGCACGCAGCAGGTCTTGTTGTTGCCAGAGTGTTTCACTAAGCACGCACTTAGCACGCAGCAGGTCTTGTTGTTGCCAGAGTGTTTCACTTAGCACGCACTTAGCACGCACTTAACACGCACCAGGTCTTGTTGTTGCCAGAGTGTTTCACTTAGCACGCACTTAGCACGCACTTAGCGCGCACTTAGCACGCACTTAGCACGCACTTAGCACGCGCTTAGCACGCACTTAGCACGCACCAGGTCTTGTTGTTGCCAGAGTGTTTCACTTAGCACGCACTTAGCACGGACTTGGTCTGGTTCTTGCCAGAGTGTTTCACTTAGCACGCACTTAGCACGCACTTAGCACGCACTAAGCAGGCACTTTGCGCGCACTTAGCACGGCAGTGGGGATTTCAGCGCACAAAAACTCTCCCACAACCAGACTGCAGCCTATTGGCGATTCACTTAATTCCTTTAGTTGTTTGGCGACAAAGAGCTGCGAACTTGCGAAGTGCCGGTAGGTGTGAACAGCGGTGGGCGACTGGGCTACTCAGATATGAAGATCATGGCGATGGGTGCGGCAGCTTCGTGTATTTTGGCTTTGGCGATTGCTTTGCTACTCGGAGAACCTGCAGTGAAGGGTCAAGACACCTCCGCTGGTGTGGCGGGAACCTTACCCCCCTTAAACAGCTCGAGCCTCGATATGTCGAGTTTCATCGACGGCGCCGAGAAGCGCGTCCGCTACCTAGCAAATTGTGCGCAGGAGAACGATGAAAAAGCCTGCGGTAAGTCTCTCTCTCTCTCTCTCTCTCTCTCTCTCTCTCTCTCTCTCTCCTCTGTCTCTCTGTCTCTCGCGTCACGTTTCATGGACATCTGTAACGGGTGCTTCCGCAGCCCAGCTCCTCCAAGCTGAGCTCCACCCACTTGTCCTTCCTCCTCTTTGATACATTAAAAAAAAAAAAGAAAAAAGAACTGAATTTAGATATCATCTTTGAATTGACCGGCCCCAGGTTGATTCATTTACAACAGTTATTCTCACTCAATGACTTTTGATTGTATCTTATCTGGGTTCGAACCTGGGTCTGTATTTCAATAGTTCGTGGGTGTACCAACTGAGCTACCGTCCTCACTCGAAGACGGTTATTCTCACTCATTTGAATGCATCTGGATTCTGGGTTCTCGAACTTGCGTGTTTATTTCAACAGTTCTTGAGTGTACCAACTGAGCTAGGCCAGCTGGTGTTTGATGCTATTGTACTTGGGGACAGGATTCGCCCCCCCCCCCCTCCCCCCCCTTCCCTTTCGGACAGGAGATATCGTATATGAGAAAGAATTGCTGGCTTCTTTGCGAAAGTAGTACCTGGGCTGGTTAGTCCGATGATAATACCTCAAGGCCATCGACTAGTGTAAAAATTTGCAATTTTCTTCGCCCTCTTCCTCTTCTGATTTTGGTGTTTTATAAAATAATATGTGCTTAACCCAGAGAATATCGCCCTTGCGAATGCATTGGCAGTTCTTTTTTTTTAATATATTTTTTTATATTTGGAGTTGTAATTGTCAAGCAAGGCCGGAGAAGGGCATGGGAAGAACGTTTCGCCCTTGCGAATGCATTGGGAGTTATTCCTTTTTTACTTTTTATTTTTTGCATTCAGAGTTCTGATTTATGTGCAAGGCTTAGCTTCCTTCCTTGCTAAAAACTGCTTTCAAACTCGAACCGTATTATTAATATTATTTATCATTAATATTATTTAATATTATTATTATTTATTATTATTATTATTTGCAAA